CAGTGTGAAGGGCATGTAAGAGTTGAGAGCCCATTGTTAACAGTGGGAAGGGCATGTAAAAGTTGAGAGCCCATTGTTAACAGTGTGAAGGGTCATGTAAGAGTTGAGAGCCCATTGTTAACAGTGTGCAGGGCATGTAAGAGTTGAGAGCCCATTGTTAACAGTGGGCAGGGGCATGTAAGAGTTGAGAGCCCATTGTTAACAGTGTGAATGGCATGTAAGAGTTGAGAGCCCATTATTAACAGTGTTAAGGGCATGTAAAAGTTGAGACCCCATTGTTAACAGTGGGAAGGGCAAGTAAGAGTTGAGAACCCATTGTTAACAGTGTGAAGGGCATGTAAGAGTTGAGAGCCCCTTGTTAACAGTGTGAAGGGCATGTAAGAGTTGGTTGAGAGCCCATTGTTAACAGTGTGAAGGACATGTAAGAGTTGAGATCCCATTGTTAACAGTGTGAAGGTCATGTAAGAGTTGAGAGCCCATTGTCAACAGTGTGAAGGGTCATGTAAGAGTTGAGAGCCCATTGTCAACAGTGTGAAGGGTCATGTAAGAGTTGAGAACCCATTGTTAACAGTGTGAAGGGCATATAATAGTTGAGAGCCCATTGTTAACATTGTGAAGGGTTAGTAAGAGTTGAGAGCCCATTGTTAACTCTGGGAAGGGCATGTAAGAGTTGAGAGCCCATTGTTAACATTGTGAAGGGTTAGTAAGAGTTGAGAGCCCATTGTTAACTCTGGGAAGGGCATGTAAGAGTTGAGAGCCCATTGTTAACAGTGTGAAGGGCATGTAAGAGTTGAGAACCCATTGTTAACAGTGTGCATGGCATGTAAGAGTTGAGAGCCCATTGTTAACAGTGTGAAGGGCAGTTAAGAGTTGAGAGCCCGTTGTTAACAGTGGGAAGGGCATGTAAAAGTTGAGACCCCATTGTTAACAGTGGGAAGGGCATGTAAGAGTTGAGATCCCATTGTTAACAGTGTGAAGGTCATGTAAGAGTTGAGAGCCCATTGTTAACTCTGGGAAGGGCATGTAAGAGTTGAGAGCCCATTGTTAACATTGTGAAGGGTCATGTAAGAGTTGAGAGCCCAATGTTAACTCTGGGAAGGGCATGTAAGAGTTGAGAGCCCATTGTTAACAGTGGGAAGGGCATTTAAGAGTTGAGAGCCCGTTGTTAACAGTGGGAAGGGCATGTAAAAGTTGAGACCCCATTGTTAACAGTGGGAAGGGCATTTAAGAGTTGAGAGCCCGTTGTTAACAGTGTGAAGGACATGAAAGAGTTGAGAGCCCGTTGTTAACAGTGGGAAGGGCATGTAAAAGTTGAGACCCCATTGTTAACAGTGGGAAGGGCATGTAAGAGTTGAGATCCCATTGTTAACAGTGTGAAGGTCATGTAAGAGTTGAGAGCCCATTGTTAACAGTTGGAAGGGCATGTAAGAGTTGAGAGCCCATTGTTAACATTGTGAAGGGCATGTAAGAGTTGAGAGCCCATTGTTAACAGTGGGAATGGCATGTAAGAGTTGAGAGCCCGTTGTTAACAGTGGGAAGGGCATGTAAAAGTTGAGACCCCATTGTTAACAGTGGGAAGGGCATGTAAGAGTTGAGAGCCCATTGTTAACATTGTGAAGGGTCATGTAAGAGTTGAGAGCCCATTGTTAACTCTGGGAAGGGCATGTAAGAGTTGAGAGCCCATTGTTAACAGTGTGAAGGGCATGTAAGAGTTGAGAGCCCGTTGTTAACAATGTGAAGACATTACTAAGGCATGTGAGAATTTTGTCAGTCTATTGTTTACAGGAAGCCATGGAGAGTGCCATTATGCAGAGTGAACAGTGTAGGATCACGTACCCGACCATGTATCCTCCTGGCCAGGTCCTCCATATTGTGGAGGTAGATTCAGACAAGTATGTACTCTATCATCTCTAGACCAATGTGTAGGGCATCCCCAGCTTTGAGGTTAACAGGAGATATTTATGTAGGTGTGTCTGTCATGCTTTAGTTTCTGTTTAATTACTGGCTAAAATGGTTCAAATACAATCCAATTTGACATGCACATACATGATTTCAAGTCTCCTGATAAGATCCATGGCCAGTGTTATGCATGCATATTTACACATTATTAATCAGGCTATTTGATCTGATTCTTTGATTAGTTTCAATACAATAACTACCTTTATAACATTTCGACCAAACTTGGAGAATCAATTTTGACTTTGTTGTGAATGTGTACATAATGACAAGTGATGACCTACATTTGTCTACACTAAACCTCAACAATAAATCATACTACTATGTCCTAAATTGAGATATATAAATTCTATAAATTTGCTTGTTATCTTAGACAAAGTGTGGTATAGTCTGTGTATTGCCTTTATATAATTGACTGTCTTGTTAATAACTTTGAAACCCTTTGAAGGTCATGCTGTGCGTCACCTACATACTTCGCTGAGTGGAAAACGCCTGAAGATTTCCAGGAAATCTTGGTTAGTCCAGACATGCTGACCGATCATCTTCCGGATAATGTGTGGAAGGCACTTGTCCAGTTGGAGGACAAACATTTCAACCCTAAACATCGTCGCTCGACTTCAAGTATAGCTACATGACAGTACTTCTTGTTCTATATGACTATTCATAATACTGTCATTAACAAACAGGCATTTCCAAATCCTATTTCATATACCATGTGCCTCTAATTTATATTTTTTGTATATCTTATATAAATGACTAGTTATTAATGAAACGTTTGATAAGCTGAGTATAATATTTTTAATTTTTATGATAAATGCCTGTTAGAAATCTATGATGACAGACCCCTGTTAGAAGCCTATGATGACAGACTCCTGTTAGAAGCATATGATGACAGACCCCTGTTTGAAGTCTATGATGACAAACCCCTGTTAGAAGTCTATGATGACACACTCCTGTTAGAAGTCTATGATGACAGACC